AGATATTATTGTTTGGATATATTTCTGTTTGGATATTTGAATGATGCATGACTTGTCAGGGTATTTTAATGTATGGTGTTAAAGGGAATTTCTGTTCGGTTAATTATTACCACGTGGTAAGCCCTCATTAGACCCAATGAGTGGCGTGTCGCTTGGTCCAACTCACCTTTGGCCGGGTGATTTGGCGTCCGAGCATGGTGAAAGGAGAATATAAGGTGCAGTCATGCAATCAAATACTTGTTCGGTTTGTTTGAAAATATTGTTCAGTTAAATGTTTTGTGTGCCTACTTAGCAATCGCATGATTAGTTACATCTGCATGCATCATTACATATTAATCTTTGGTTACTGAGACTTTTAAGTCTCATTCCCCGTGGTTAATATTTTTACAGGAGTGAGTCCGGCTGAGAAAGCACCAGAGGTGTAATTATAGTGTATGAGACACCATCTTTTACGTTGCCTCTTATTTTGGATTATACAATGTATCTTGTGCCAACTTAGGATATATCTTTTTTGTGGAGCATGTAAACTCTAATCCTTTTTATTAAATGCATTTAGGTGTTCAAGAGCATTATGTCTGTCCCTTTTAATTTATGACTTGATTTGAATAACATGCTATGAGGATCATGTCTGTCCCTCATCGTTTTAATTGCCTTTTTGGATATTTTAAGACTTGTATTATGTCTTGAATGTATCATGGTAAGAAAATTTTCTACCATGATAATGGTTTTAGTAATTTGTGAAAAATCGATTTGTAAATTTGAGGGTGTTACAGTACGGACTTTCAATTAAGCATACTTGAGTATTGTCTTGTGCATAGTGAATATTATATCGTGTATAGTCTATCTAACTTGTCTATTTTGTTGAGCTTAGACTATTAAAATATTACAAAAGCATGGACTTTCAGTTGAATATATGTAAGTAATGTCTTGTGCACGTGGATGTTGTGTTATACATGGTCTATTTAACTTATCCATTTTGTTGAGCCTAAGCTATTGAAAAGGCATGAACTTTCAGTTAAACTTACATGAGTATTGTCTTACACATAGTGAATATTGTATTGTGTATGACTACCTAACTTATTTATTTTATTAAGTCTAGACTACTGAAATATTAAAAAGACATAAACTTTTAGTTGAGCATATGTGAGCATTATTTTATTCATAGTAAATGTTGTATTGTGTATGATTTCGCACAGGTTTTCTAAATTCAAATCAAACAAAAAAAAAAGTACTTTTAATCTAAAAAAAATTACAATAAGGGCCCAATGGCCTGCAGAATAATATCAAATTTTTTTAAGTCTAAAATATAATTATGTGTATTTTTAAGGCCGTTAGTGAGATACTTTTAATAAAAAATGCTTCATTTTTTTCCTTTTGGTGACATCATACCCCATCAACTTGTCTATCTTTTTTTCACTCCAATTTTTCTTTACTTTTTCTTTTCCAATTATTGTTGATCTGAGTGGTACTTCGGCCCTCCAGCTTTAATTGTGTTCCAGATCTGCAACAAGCGCTTCGTTATGTGCCAGTTTCATTTTTATCTTTTAATACAATAATAATAAATAAAACATTTTAATGAAATTGTAGTGAAACCCAATTTAAAATCAAATTATATGATTTTGACAAAACAGTTCCATGACATACAATACCACCAAATGCTCCGTTCTAGATAAAATATTAAAAATGCAATAAAGTGATGAAACTTAGAATACACGGATGATGGTCTTAGTATGATATATTATAAAAGGGGAAAAAAAATGCGAAAACGAAAACGCGAGAAGACATGTGGGAGTCACCAGTCTAGATATATACTATGTTCTAGCACATATTATTGAGAATTTGATTCGAGTTGAATCATAACTTAATAATAGTGGCATTCCCCTTAAATTTTATATCACATATAATATATATGTTTCGGATCATTGAAGATATTATAGCATGATATCAGTTCGTTAGCTTCAGTTTATAATTGTTTAAATTAAGAAACAATGATTGAAATAACTACATCATATATGATATTATGATAAATTAATTCCCCAGTGCAAAAGCTTAAATAAATTTAAAATTTCACCTTGATTACAATTTTCTTTGCCCTGCGTAAATAGATGCTACCAGTTAAATTTTAAATTAATTTAACAAAGTAGTAAACTGAAAATATAAAAGTGAACAAGGGGTGTGAATTGCGACATGGATGGATTAGTTGGCACATTTATTTGTTTGGTATTTGATTGAAGTGGGGAAGTGCGTTGCATTTAATTGGATCTTAGAAGGTACAATGACCTACGTTTCCCTTATGAATAATTAAGTAATAGCATACTCATCAAATTAAGAATTGAAGTTACATCATTCATAAAAAATGTATTATTAGTTATGAAAATTGTGACACACACAGGCACAATTTAATTTCTGGTATTAGTCATGAAGTTTGGGCTATGTTATTGGGCTTGAATATGGCTTGGGACCTGGGGCTGAGAATGACTCTCTTGAGGCAATCAGTCTGATTAATCACTCTTAAATTAAATTGATTGATGAAGAGCGATCTTAATCAGTCTGATTAATGTCTCTTGTTTAAAATTGTTAACTTCCCACTCTCTTGCACGCACCACCATGGTTGTTGGAAGAAGTTGGTCGCCACGTCCACAGAACCGGAAATGCGGCCGCTGATCTTCTCGCTAGGCAAGCTCTGAGCAGCTGGCCTGGCTTTGCATTCTATTTTGCTATATGACAATAAAAATGCTCCTTCGTGTTCTAAAATTATTAATACTGTTGATTTATTAAAAAAACATAATAACTCTTCTCTCTCACACACACGATATTGATATTTATAGATAAGTCGTTTAACAACTCTAACAAAACATTCATGTGAATTTATTTACGAAAGAAAGAAAAAAGTAGTGCATCATGGGACACGCATTAAAACTGAGCCACAAAGGAAGCAGATTCCTTGGAGGGATTTCGTGTCAACAAGGAGACTCATATCTATCTAACTGGCGTCTCGTCTACTTTGTAAATGATTCCTAAAGGCTTTTTAATATGAAAATGAGAAAATACTCTGTGATTTGTTTGTGTGTGGCCTTTGATAGACAAAATGGTCTATTTTCTACAAAGAAAAGCCATGCCGACAAATAAATGACAGCAACGTCCACCTTAACTTTTCCACGTCACGCCCCTTTTTGTCGGTAAAATCTTGCATGCATACCCCTTTATTATTGTTCCACTTTTCTTCAACTACCATAGATTTTCTTTACAAACACCACCATATTTCATTCAAAAACTCAGTGAAAATATCGTTATAGCATTGTTTACCCTTTTACTCTGGCACAAACATCCTATACAATCTAGTCGTAATTTTTTTTTTTGGAGACTCTCGTATGCTAGCTGTAGCGACCACAGAGTCATGTCAAATTGACACAATCAAAATGTTTATCAGTCAAATTATTCTTCCGGTGTCTGTCTATATCAAATCGAGACAATCAAAATAATTTTCAGTCAATTTCCATCAATATTAGTGACGATGATCAAATATGTCTCAAGCCATAATGCTGCGCAAAAGCCACATCATGAAAAGCATAAATCAAAGTTAGTCCGACGAACACTTCCAATTATTCTTTCGATCGATCTGATATAAACTAATTAAGGAGAATCTCATCTAAGCACGATAACATATTTTCAAATCAAGCTGAACAAAATCTAAAATTTAATTCAATAGGATGTTAGACCTGAATTAGAATAGAATTCTAAAACAAAATAAGCAAAATATTTTTCAAATACGCTGCAATATAACAAGTAATGCAAGAGAATTAATAAGTAAAGTAAAGATTTTAAAAAATAATGTAATTGATTTTACAAGTATGATAAAAGTTTAACAAATCACAAATTTAAATTGCCACATATTTCTATTACAGTATTACTAACCAACTATCTTTGTTTTTCTTGTCATGCTGCAACATGTCGAAGAAAGATATTTTAGTTATTTTGTTTATCTCAATTCAAGCTCAACATTTTGTAATAAAATTTTAAATTATTATGGGCCTATTTTCAAAATATGTCATATCCATAATCCTTACATGAATTTCTTCCTATAAACTAAAACGTTTGTGAGAATATATATATATATATATATATATATATAAGACACAAGACGCCTTGAAGAATGAAGACTAATCAGCTGTCAGGCGCCAGTTATTTACTCCCTCCGTCTGAATTTGCGAGATAATTTCAGATAAAATTAAGCATGCGAATGAAACTTATTAAATAGATTTTACTTCTCCTATTTCAATTCATACAACACTTTTACATAAAATCATACATACAAATAAAAATCATTAAATATATTACACCCATATCTATTCAAAATAAAAATGCAAACTTTTAAAAATGTCATTTATTTAATATTTAATTTGAAAAAAAATATTAAAGAGAGATAATATAATAACAAAAATAATAATATTAACAAAATTTTTATTAAAAAATTTTATTTTTATCAAAATATCTTATATTTTTAGACAATAAATCTTTTTAAGAAAAACATTTTATAATATGAAACAAATAAACAACTTTTATTGTTCAAAACAAAACATAAATTTTTAAAAATACCACTAATTTAACAAACTTAGAGAGAGATAATATATAAGGAGGAAAAAGTAATATTAAAAAATATATTTAAAAAAATTTGCATATGTCAAATTACTTCCTTTGTCCTAAATTATAAAATACTTTTAGACAAAATCTCACATACTAATAAATCTCATTAAATACACCTAACAACTTTATCTTTTTAAAATAAAAATATAAACTTTTAAAAATATCTATTATTTAATATATTGAAAAGAGAAGGAGCGAAAATTAATTATAAAAAGAGAAAAGGTAATATTAAAATTAAGACATTTGATAAAAACTTAATTCATTTAAAGTATTTTATATTTTAAAATAAAAAAAAATTTTAAAAGTATTGAGGGAGCATATTATAATTTGAGAGAGCGAATTACTTTTCAAATTATCTTGTTTTATTGCACGAATGACAACTATAACGATCACACCATACTTTGGTAATATCCCAATCTGCCATCGAGTGAAAGATGCCAAATCAGGTCACAGTACACTTGCAGTTGCACAGCTTATTCATTACTCTATTATACAAATCAAGAGCCGATGAAAGGCCACAGTTAAACAAAGATTATGTGCAAATACGCATAGGATTAAGGTTAACAGACAAGAGTTGTTCAAAGTGCCTAGTCATAATGCTGAATCACAAGCGATGCGGTTTGAGTGACTTGTAAGTCACCGGCATCGGCGGCCAACCTGCTGCCACCGGTCCCGGCACCGTCGTCTCGTAGCTCTCATAGTACTTGTTACAAGGTACGATGTTCAAGGTCTTGGGGTTCGGACAAGGCTTAACCTCGGAGAAGAACTTGGTGCACTCAGCCTGTGTTCTCTGATCGCGAAGTCCCAGAATGCAATTCCGCCGCACGTCCAGCACCTTCGCGTCTATCAGCTTCCTGCATTCTGGTCCCACCTGGGTAAAATAATTACCCGACAGCGTCAAATTCCCGTTTCGGAGTCCCGAAAGCTTGCACACCGACTCTGGAACGGGCCCGTAGAACTGATTATCAGCCAAATTCAAGAACTGGATGTTATCCAAGCAGGCAAAGGAGTGCGGGATTGGACCGGTCAGCCAGTTCTTGCTCACGTCGAAAACCGTAGCTTTGACGAGGAACCCGATCTCATAAGGTAAACAACCAGAAAACTGATTCCCCAGGAACAGCACCTCAGTGATGTTCGTGGCTTTACCAATACTCCTGGGGATCGGACCCGTTAACTTGTTGTTGGCGAATGTAAGATATCTGGCCGGCGTGGACCCGAAGTCATCGGGAAGGCATCCGGTGAGCTGGTTGTTGTTGATGAAGATGACTTCTAGTGGCAGCTTAAAGAGCTGCGGTGGAATCGAACCGCAAAGTTCGTTGAACCTGAGATCCAGGAACACAAGTTGTTTCGAGAGAAGGACCTCTTTCGGGAACTCACCCCTTATCTTGTTGTTGCTGAGGTCGAGCTCGAAGAAGTATGGGAACTGGGAGATTTGAGGTGGGACTTGGCCGCTGAAATTGTTGGAGTTCACGTGGAAGAATGCTAACTCTCGGATTGGGGCCAAGATTCCAAAAAGGTCCAGTGGTTTATCGTTCCGCAGCCTGGAGAATGCGTATCCATTGAAGTCCAGCCCCGCCACTGCCTTCTGTTTATCGTTCGGATATGTGGCGCAACTAATGCCGTTGAATTTACATACGTCGTTGGACATCTTCCAGTTTGACGTTCGCCCTTGCGTATCGCAGATGTTCCGCTTGAATTTTAGAAGCACTTTTTTTGCTCGTTTCAGCCTGGGTGGTGGAGAAGGCGGAGGACTTTGACATTCTCCACATTCTGGGAAAGAAGAAGGAGCATTACCAGCATCGGCGCCGCCGCCAACGCTAACCTCTAAAGCTTCTCTTTTCGTGCTGGTCAGCTCATGAGAATATGAAGAATGAGGCAGGAAAGCACTAGCAACTATCAACAATAGAACACATACAGAGATGTTACCCATCTTCAACTTCCAGACACGCACAAGAAGCTGATGAGATTTGTAGGTAATGAAAGCTAGGGTCGTGTGAAATCATATACACACGCACGCACGCACGCACGCACACTTGAAGAAGTGTATCTTGATCGTACAAGTTGAAAAGTCAAGCTTCTCGTGAGAGCCATAATGATCCATCTGCAGCCGAAAAAAAAAATGCCGGAGCGAAGTTCTCAATTGATGATTTGTGCTTTCCCCTTTTTCTCTTGTGGAGGCAGAAGACAAGTGGCTTAACTTCAATGCTATAGCACGAGATGAGTACTATTGTTCCCATTAGTGTAATATCATCTATATTATTTAAATTTTAATTTAGATGCTTCATATTTAAAATATTATTATATATTTATTAAAATAAAAATTTTATAATAATTCTAAAAAATAAATTTTTATTATGGGTTTGGTCTCAATTTAATTTAATATTAAAATTTTATAATTATTATATATTAACCATTCAGATGTGTTTTGTATAGTCTAAATTTTTAAATTAAAATCTAAACTATACAAAGTACATCTAAATAGTTAATATATAATAATTATAAAAATTTTAATATTAAGTTAGAATTTTTAAATTAAATCTATACTAGATTAAAAATTAAAAATTAAAAATTGTTTTATATTTTTCAAAAATTTTTAATTTAATAAATATAAAATAAAAATATATAATAATACTTTAAATTTGGATCTGGATGGTCTAGATGTTGTCACACTAACGAGCACAAAGTGATAAGCACTGAAGTTAAATCCAAATAGAAGACTAGCAAACTACCTTTTAGTTATGCCTTAAAGTTCTCAACTATAACACTAATAAAAGATGCTTCATGCTAGTGAACAAAACACATGCTTGCACCCGCCATATGGATTGTCTTACATTGAAGATAATTAAAAATGCTAGTGATCTTCAAGCACTCTGCAGAAAAATCTCCGATTTATTTGGCCTCGCTATCATAGAATATCCCAATATTTAACACTTATTTTTATTAATACATAATATTTTTAATTATCAAGTCAAGGTATGACATATATTATAGCCACTTTTAATAACAGTTAAAAACTATCAAGTATTGGGAACCTTACTTGATGGTTATTTTGTAATAACCGTTAAATATATGCTTACATAATTATTTTTGTAGGCAAATACTTAATTATTATTTTCAAATGATTATTAAGTATTTATGGTGTTTTTTTAATAGGGGGCTGCTTGCATGAGGATATACAAAATATAAAACAAAACAGCTAGCTAACAGTCAAAAAATAATATAATAAATATTTTAATTAATATTACTATCCAAGTACCAAAAAATTCCTATAACTTTAGCCCTAAACCTTAAAAAATATATACTTAACTAATTTGCAAACTAAGTTTCTAAAACTAAGTGGCCTAAGGCATAAAAATTGGTTGAAAAAATGTAATGTGTAAAATATATATACCTAACTAACTATTGGGCTAGCCCACACATATTGATCATAACTTGAGTCACCTCTTTAATGATTTCGTCTACATGTGCAATAGTATAACAAGTGCAGTAGACATCCTTGAAATACTATAAACAAATAGTCAAGTTCAAGTTAATAGCTAGCTATTTAAAATTGACTAAACTTTACAATTAAAGTGTAATTAAATTTATTATATACCTTGTCAAATAATGTGGTAAGGGCATAGGTTGTAATATCCTTCTTCTAACCTTAATTAACTCCAATCTCAATTAATTAAGAGATTGGATTAAGATAATTAACATAATACTAAGTTATAAACGAGTGAAAAAGTCAGGATTTTGAGTGTTTAAAAACTAAAACCATTTTTAAAGTCTTTAAAATAGACAAATCGAAGTTCATAGTTATGTAGAAATATAAGATCATTTCAAACATAAGTACATTAATAAAAGAATTTGAACACAAAATAATTCTATAAAAATTTGGGGTGTGCACCACGGCTCGTTGAACATGCGCCGCAGTGTGTTCGCCTTTGTGCCTTACGCCGAAGGTCATGGCACCATACGTCAAGGCTCATGGCACCATGCACCACTGTGTATTTGCACGATCTGTGATAGTAAATTTTGTTGTCAATTTGACAGCCTTTAAGACAATTTTTAACGCACCCTAATCTTTCGTCCAACATCTAATTGATGAAAATTAGGTGTCTAGAGAAAGCTTTTTTTGAGCTCTAACTAATGGCTTTGGTATCATAATCAAATTATTACACAATTAAAATTTGAACACTCTTTTCAAAACTTATACTTTTTCAACAGTTTTCTTAAAACCAAGTGTCCAACTCAATCACTAAAAGCCAATAACCATTAACACCACTTAGATTACATGTAAAACACCAAAACTAACTCGTGCAATACACCATATCACATTAGACACTTATAGATCACAATTTTACTATTCAACCCCTTAATCTCAAAAACATATAATGGGGAGTTCAAGTCACTTTTCATCAAATATTTCATAATCAATACATATTATGTATAACTCTTACTTACATTAGTATTTTAGCCCTATCACAGATAAGACATATCATAAACTCACTTCCTATTGCCCAAAATACACTTACAACTTACCAAACACATAATGCGAGTAAGAACCAAAAATGCACTAATCCTAATTGGTAATTTCAATTTTCAGATACACATAATGACTTAAAAATAAAGAGGCCTATTAAAGAGAATCACAGTCTTAAGTCTCTGAGTGTTTTTCTCTATTCGATCCTCTTGAACTATTTCCTGAAATATTAAAGATAATAAGGTAAGGACAACCACTCAGTAACTACAATCCAACTAAATTATACTAATGCATGTCAATTAATTTTAAATGCAAGTGGCAAGTATAATCATTTTTCAAACCATATAAAACATTCAAGAGCATAAATTCACTTTTCCAGGCATAATAGCACGATACTCGTGGAATAATGCTTTTTTAACAAATTTTATATAAAAGAGAGTTTGTCACACAATCAAATGATATATACTCAAAATGGATTAAGATTCAATTCATGATATCCATCATTAGGATCACAATACAAACAATCATAAGCCTTTACTCACTATTTACATGATCACATTGCTCTCATATCTTTCTTATTCATTTGACATTAAACCGTGGACTATAACACAATAGGATAGTCTATAATCTAGAACTTTCCTAGCCTAAACACTTGTAAGGGGATTACTCGGCTAAGGTTTACCCATCTCACCTGTGAAACACAGTTTTTTCCAGTTTCTCACACTATGGTGTGTCATATTCCTTAAACTAGCTCCTTTATTAAACCAGTGGATAGTTGGTCAGGTTCAAATCCCTCGTTGAACAGGTCAGACAAGGAGTATATAAACAATCTGGGCAAGTTATTGACTCTAATGGGAGCCTGCCACGTGAATTTAATTCTCTACTCCTCTTCCTAAGCAAACTCTTACCTCTCATGATCATCCAATACATTTTCATGCAATAATTCACATTTAACATACTTCATAGAATTCCACCCAAACAACTTCATTAAACTCCACCATTTTGCAAATTATTGAACTTCTACAATACATATACTCATAAAACCTCATTGGCAAGAAATCTTGGTACTCTTTAAAACACATTTTTATTAAACTCTAAATTAAACAAGTCATTGAACTCTAAATTTATCATAATCTTTTTATTACATGCATTCAAAATCATTGAACTTCACAATTTTAAAATCATTGAACTACATTAAATCACCACTTCATAGTAGGCTTTTCAAATAAAGCAAGCCACATTTGCATTTTAGTTAATTTCACACAATTCAATTATCAAATATTATTCAACAAACTAATTAATATAGAAAATTATTGGATAAAATTTCCCTATTATCTCAAACCTTTAAGAGGTCAAAGGTTTCACTTGCCAAATACTCACTCCTAAAACTTTTAAGAAGCTTGAATGGTGTCAAACATAGTTACTCTATAAGTATTTACAATGTAAATCATCAATATTCATATTTGGGCTAATTTTTACTAATACTTTAATACTTCTTAATGCTCAAGATTTATTCTTGACTCATATAAAAGCACCCATAGGGTTTTTCAACTTCTTTTAACTCTCATTAACATCATTGAGCTTTCTAATAGTCATTAATGAAAACACATTATTCTCAACTAACATATTTATAAGGATTTTCGGGCATTTAATGCCCTTCAACTACCAATCATCATATCTCCATAAATATTAAGTTTTATTAGCCCAATCTAGCCCCGTTAACTTTATTTAAGTCAATAGGTTTGGACCTATAGTCTATATGGATCGAAAATAACCATTATCAACCAAACCCTAACTTCTACCATTAAGAAAATGGAAGAAGAGGGAAGCATTTAAGTAAGAAAGTTTACTTTTGATGTTTAAGAGCTTTAAAATACTCCCAATACTCAGATTCTCTAAGCCTTAGCACTGCTCTCTCGCTACTCTCTTGTATTTCTTTATTCTTCCTCCATCTTTTGCTTTGTTTTGCGAATTTATGACAATAGAAATGTGACCATATGCCACGATGAACAGATAAAATGCCACAGTGCATGGCACAGAGAATACCTCCTAGGCTTGTTGCCACACATGTACCGCAATGGCTTATCCACAAGCCATAGTGCATGTCATAGAATCTCCCCTTTCAGAATTTCTTCCTCTTTCATTTTTGGGTGATCTGATTCTCTTTCAAACTCACATTTAAGGTTGAACTTGAAACCAAACACGTCCGTTAAGCCTCTCTGGCCACACACCTCACTAATTACTTAATTAATCTAATTGAGCTTATTTAATCTAGTTTAAAATTGAGGATGTTACATGAGTGATGATGTCCTTCATAAATTTCATCAGAGAATAATTACAGTCATTGCTTTGATCTATCTATAGTAGACACTGTAAAAAAAAACACAGATAAGTGAAATTGTATAACATATCATGGTTTCTTAATTAAAAACTTGTCAAATTAAATGAATACCTTAACAGTGACCCATTTCTCAGAAAAATCTAATGTGAAAAAAAAAATTGTATAACGTGTCACGATTTCTTAATTAAAATCTTAAGAGAAAGTTTCTTGGGGTTTAGGCCCTCTATTGATTAATCTAATGACAACAACAAAAATCACATAAA